CTGCCTCAGCCTCCCAAGTAGCTGGGACCACAGGCACCCGCCACAACCCCTGGCTATTTTTTTGGTTGCAGCCGTCATTGTTGTTCCAATCCCTGGGCTGGATTTGAACCCGCCACCTCAGATGTATGTGGCTGGTGCCCTAGCTACTTGAGCCACAGGCACCGAGCCAAGAGGTTTTATCTTGAGCTGAGTATGTGTGACCTGCCCTAGAGAGCCATACCTAAGAAGCCCTGAGCAGTGGTTACAGTGCAGTTGTGTTACAATTTTATGTGTATGTGGGTTTTTTTTAAAACAGAGTCTTACTCTGTTGCCCAGGCTAGAGTGCAGTGGTGTCATCATAGCTCAAGTGCAATCCTCCTGCCTCAATCTCTGGAGTAGCTGGGACTACAGATACGTGCCACAATGCCTGGCTAATTTTTTTATTGTTAGTAGAGACGGGGTCTTACTCTTGCTCAGGCTGGTCTTGAACTCCTGACTTCAAATGATCCTCCTGCCTCAGCCTACTAGAGTGCTGGAATTACAGGTGTGAGCCACCTTGCCCTGCCTACAGTTAGGCTTTATACATTTCAAGGAGGCAGGAATTATACATAGTCATAAATTAGTGAATGCATGGAAGATGTACATTGGTTTGGTCTGACAAGGCGGGGCATTTGGAAGTGGGGTATTATAAGTTATAGGTGGATTTAAGGAGTCTATGATGTATAATTGTTTAAAAAAATGAAGCTTTGTCTAAAGGCTTAGAATGTCTTAAGTTAAGACAAGGAAATCTGTTAATCTGTTCCTGCCAGACATATACAGTACATGTTCCCAGACCCAAGTGAGCTGTTAAGTAAATTGATGACCTGCTGGTGTGGTTTGAGGTTTGTCTTGTATAGCCTTTGAGTTACGAAGGATATCTCCAAGAATGAAGGGGAGCATGAGGAGCAAGGCAACTAAGTTTTAGGGTATTTCCAGGGTACCATTGGTCAAGTGGGGCTCAGTCAGCTAGGAGGGAGGGCTTACGATTTTATTTTAGTTCACAGATGTAACGTCAAATTCCTGGTCTCAACTGATCCTCCCACCTCAGCTTCCCAAGTAGCTGGGACTACAGGCACATGCAACCACCCTCAGCTAATTTTTTTTTTTTTTTTTTTTTGGTGGAGAAAAGGATCTCCTATGTCATCCAGGCTGGTCTTGAACTACTGACCTTAAGAGATCATCCCAAAGGATCCTCCCAAAGTATTGGGATTATAGGCATGAGCCACAGTGCCCTGCCCCTAGTTTAGATGTTTTATCTGTGTGGATCCTGAGGTCGATATAAACTCAGTCTGTCACGGTTAATTTTCTTAGATAGAGAGTAGTGCTGTCTTTCATGAGGAAGGAGAGGCCTCCCCAGCAAGGTTATGAGTTTTATATGTTGTGTTGAGAATATCCCTTGATGTTGGAAATGACATTCATAGATTAAAAACTCCAAAGGAGGGCTCCGCGCTTGTGGCTCAAGCGGCTAAGGCGCCAGCCACATACACCTAAGGTGGCGGGTTCGAATCCCCAGCC